CAGGTCTGCGCTGTCACACGCAGCCCTGCTGGCTCTGCGGACCCGGGGCCGCTCGGATCCACAGCTCGGGCCCCGGGTGGCACCTCCCGAGGAGATTCCAGCCCCCCGGCAGGTTCCTGGGGCAGCCCTGGGCTGGCCCCGACGTGAGGGGCATTTCCCGCTGAGCCCGGATCACGGCACCTCCGGGGCTGCTCCAGCTCCTGCTGCTTTCCGTGCTACCTCTGCTGTGGTTTCTCAGGTGCTACATCATAGGATCACAGAATCTGCTGAGTTGGAAGGGGCCCATCAGGACCATGAGTCCAGCTCCTGTCCCTGTGCAGGGCACCCCAAGAATCACCCCATGTGCCCGAGAGCATCAGCCAAACACTTCCTCAACTCAGGCAGGTTGGTGCTGTGACCACTGCCCTGGGGAGCTGGTTCCAGTGCTCAGTCACCCTCTGGGGGAAAAACCTTTTCCTGATACCCAACCTAAACCTCTCCTGATGCAGCTTCTGCCATTTTCAAATCAAGGGTGGATTTGGATCCACTACATGCTGAGGACAGGAGGGAGGGCTGTGTCACCCCCAGCACCAGCAGGTGCTGAAGCTCTTTATAAGTGAGCAGGGCTGTTAACCCCGGGGGGTGGGTGAATCTGAGCCCTGGGGTCACAGTCTGGGGATCTGTTCTGTAGCTGCAGCTCCATGCTCTGATATTGCTCCTGGATGTGTTTCTCCCTGCAGGGCCTGGGGTACCAGCTGCATTTTGAGGACAGTGTGCACAAGAACCTGATGCTTGGCTGCCCCCCAGCAGGCACCTGTGGACACTGGTGATGGTGTTGATCCCCAAATGATAAAGCAGTAAGTAGTTACTGATGGGTTGTTTTTAGTTTGTACTCCAAGCAAATGTTTGGCCACATGATTTCAGAGAAGGAAAAAAAACCCCAACACAAATGGGCCATCATTTCCTGCAGAGGTTTTTCAGTTGAATTTCATAGAATCATGGAATGGTTTGGGTTGGAAAGGACCTTAAAGATCATCAGGTTCCAACCCCCCTGCATGGGCAGGGACACCTCCCACCAGCCCAGGCTGCTCCAAGCCCCATCCAACCTGCCCTTCAAGACATAGTGAAGAATCTCCTCCTGATGTCCAACCTGCATCTCCCATCTTTGAAGTTTTAAACCATTGCCATTTTTGTTTGACCTTTTGTTTGTTTGTTTACTTTTTGATCACTTAACACTAAGCTCAGGCAGTGGTGCTGCAGATCTCCAGGGCTCCCAAGAAACCTTCACTGTGTTGCAGCAGCACTGCTGGCAATTTCTGTCAGCAGGCTGCAGATTTTTTGCAAAGAAACCACAAGGCAGATGGTCCAACCAGGATGCATCGTTGGTACCACACTTCAGAGCCTCCCCATTCTTGCTTTAGAGGAGGATAAGTTTAAATAAAATCTAGGACTGTTGGTTGTGACCTGTGCTAGTGCTAAGGGAGAGCTCACATGGGCCCCCCCCTCCCACCAGTGTGTGGATGACATGAAGCAGGTGAGGAACCAAAACACATCAAAGCACTCCTGGGTCAGCCCAATTAGAGACATTTTTGTCCTTAAAAAGCTCTGGGTTTCTACCTCTTTGCTTTGATGTCTGAGTTGCTGTAGAGACCACAGACTTACAGGGCTGTTTTAAGGCATATGAACACACCAGAGCACGAGCCAGTCCTAAAACTAACAAAATCTGAACTGAACACACAGTCCTTTGAGGAGGCAGCAGGTGTCAGACCCACCCAGGAAGCAGTTACAGCTGGAACCAGCTTGGGTAGGAGTGATGCTGAAGGGGGTGAGACCCTTTTTCCTTTTCACAGGATCAAGTAATGATCTTTTAAATAGGTGGCAAACAATAAAACCCTCTTGTGCAAAGCAACCTTTGTTCCTTTGACCTTGCCAAGACAGATGGAAGAACAACTGGAAGGAATAACTGCATGGTTAACTTTGTCATCTTCCTTTACAAATGAAGTGGGAAATTCACTCATTTCTTCCCTAGTTGATGTTTGTTTTCTGGCTAAAATGTTCATGGGCACAGAGCCTTGGGGAACATGTTTCAGATGAGCTGTTTGCAGCTGGTTTCCTGATGGACCCCTTGGCATGTGCTCCTCACACCCCTCGCTGAAATGAGCAACTTTAAAAATCAGGGCACCCTCATCTCACACTTCTTCCCCCTGCAAGCTCAGGGTCTTTCTGTAAACGTTGCAAAAATTGAAGTTAAAAGCTTCTGCTTTCTTTTCAGAGCAGCTGCTCAGTCCTTCCTTGCTCTAAAAATACTTATCTGAGGGTGTTACTAAAGTTTCAGCTTTTTCTACCACATTTTTGTGATGTGACTTCTGCTATGAGGGCAGCCTGGGAGAGTTGGGGTGTTGAGCCTGGAGAAGAGAAGGCTCCAGGGAGACCTTAGAGCAGCTTCCAGTGCCTGAAGGGGCTCTAGGAATGGTGTGGCCAGCAGGAGCTGGGGTTGATCAGCCTGGAGAAGAGGAGACTCAGGATGGACCTTCTCACTCTCTACAACCACCTGAAGGGAGGTTTAGTCAGGGGGGTCTGGGCTCTTCTCCCAGGCAACCAGTGACAGGACCAGAGGGCCTGGCCTGAAGCTGCTCCAGGGGAGGTTTAGGTGGGATATCAGGAAGCACTTCCCATGGAAAGGGTGATCAGACAAGAGGTGATGGTTTTAAACTAGAAGAGGGGAGATTTAGGTGATATTAGGATAAAATTCTTCACCATGAGGGCAGCAAGGCCAGGGGCAGGGCCAGAAGGAGAAGGTGAGCCAGCAGAGGTCCCCAGGGGAGCTGGGGAGATGCTGGGGGGTCAGCTTGGCAGGGTGGTCCTTGCCAGGGTCCTGTCCCCATCCCCTGGCTGGGTGGCACCACTGAGCCTCCAGAGCCACCCGGGCTTGTTGGCCACATCCATCCCATCTCCCAGCCGATTCCTTCTCCCCTTCCTACAGCTGAACAAGCTGCAGGTGATGATGATTTCTCACCATGAGGACGAACACTGGAATAGTTTCCCAAAGGAAGTGGTGGATTGCCTCAGACTGGACAGTTTTGTCCTGCTGCCACTGACAGCCTGTGGCCCAGGAACACGGGTCTGTCCCCGCGGGGCAGCCAGGACCCCCTTGCTCAGCCCAGCCCATGTGTTTCCCTCTCCACCAGTTCCTCTCTCTGCAGGTCCTGTGACCCAGTGATGTTCTTGGTCCCATTGCGTGCCCGGCCAAACCCTCCTGTCCGTCCCGGCCACCGAGAGGAAAGGAAGGGACTTCAGGCATGAGGAAAGGGATGGTTTGACTGGGTTTCATGATGTTTAATTATATTGAAATCAATAAAACATCTTCAACTGTTATTTTCTTGTTGTGTGGATTTAAATTTTTTGTTTTGTTTAGTCCTTTTTTAATCAAAATACCAACTCCCTTCACCTCCAGCAGCTTTGCTGCTCCCTACCTGGGCAAGAGCAGGAAGGACCTCGTCCTCCAGCCGTCTCCTCTGTGGACTGGTGTGCTTGCAATGTCTTCTTTTTCCTAGGTTTCTGCCTCCAGAAATACACTGATGTGTTATCACCAGAGTTTTCAGACTGTCCTAGATCCCTTTTTGCAGGAGGAGGCAGCCAAGCTGTGCCAGTGGTGAGTGCTGGGGCACCCCCAGACCTGCAGCCCCCAGCCCTCCAGCCCTGCCTGGCTACGGGTGAGGTCACAATCCTGCTCTGTGACCTCGGCCTCTCTCCCCTCTAAAAACCCCACTTTGCCACTCGTGTGACCCCCCAGCTGGGATGGCTTTCTGAGGTGACAAGGAGAAGGAAGGCTATCAGCTGTGCATTTCTCTCACCCACCCAGACTGATACCCCCTGCAGAAAGCCTCTGGTGTTCCCTGGTACCAGACAGGACAGCACCATGGACTTGGTTGGCCTGCCCCAGCTTCTGGACCTGATCCTTGTGCCTAGAGATGTGTGGTTGGTCAACTTTGGGGCCCTGCGCCGTCTGCTCCCAGCCAGGAGGAAAGGGAAGAAGGAGAGCAGCATCTCCAAGGTAGAGGCACTGGCTGGTCCCCTGGGTGCTCCCCTGCCCAAGCCCCCTCCTACGGGCTCTGCACGGCCCGTGCGCTGCCCTTAGAGCGGGGTCTGAGTTAAGCCCCAGTTCCTGCTGGGACCCCGGGCTTCCCTGTGGGAAAGGGGTGGAGTTTTGGGGAGGAAGAGCTGGGGCTGAAATGCTGCTCCGCTTGCTCTGGGTCCTCCCCACGTTGCCATCAGCAAGTGCTGGTGGGTCCAATCCAGCCCCGGTGCTGCTGCACATCTGCCTGTAACCCTGATCCCTTTGCCTCCTCTTCCCAGCAGGGCAGGGGGAGCCAGTTTGCCCCTGCTGAGCCCACCATAGCGAGCATGGGCACCCAGCAGGAGGCCATGGAGGAAGCCCTTATAGGAGCAGGGAGTGTCCCCATTTGGGACACTCTAGGTACTCTCCAGGCACAGTCAGCTCTCAATAAAGTCAGAGAGCTCAGCCACCTCTGTGCTGACCTGAAGGAGCAGGTGGCCCAGCTGGAACACCAGGCCAGACTGGGGAACCTGCAGCTGCTCTTCCTGTTGCAAGGTGGGAGTCCTGGGGAGGTTTACTGGAGGAGTTATTTTGCTTGGGACCAGCTGCATCCACTGGCTTATTGTGCTCAGGGCCTGGCCCCAAGGACAGGACCCCCTCACTGACAGTGTGTTCCCTTGGACCCCACCTCTAGATCGGGAGAGCATCCACCATGTCCTTAACTCTCTCCTGCACCAAGTGTCCTTTCTGCAGGACCAGATGTTCTCCATGCAGGAACAGGTGTCCTCCCTCCAGGGCCTGGACAGTGACTGGCAGGGCTGCAAGGAGAAGGTGAGCCAGCAGAGGTCCCCAGGAGAGCTGGGGAGATGCTGGGGCAGCAGGGGAGCTTGGCAGGGTGGTCCTGGCCAGGGTCCTGTCCCCATCCCCTGGCTGGGTAGCACCACTGAGCCTCCAGAGCCACCCGGGCTTGTTGGCCACATCCATCCCATCTCCCAGCCGATTCCTTCTCCCCTCCCTGCAGCTGCACAAGCTGTCAGTGATGGTGGAGAGCGCGGGGCAGCAGCAGGCAGAGGCGCAGGCAGAGGGGCAGGCAGGCCAGTCTGCAGCAAAGACACCGGCTGGGCCGCGTGACAGCCTGTGGCCCAGGAACACGGGTCTGTCCCCGCGGGGCAGCCAGGACCCCCTTGCTCAGCCCAGCCCATGTGTTTCCCTCTCCACCAGTTCCTCTCTCTGCAGGTCCTGTGACCCAGTGATGTTCTTGGTCCCATTGCGTGCCCGGCCAAACCCTCCTGTCCGTCCCGGCCACCGAGAGGAAAGGAAGGGACTTCAGGCATGAGGAAAGGGATGGTTTGACTGGGTTTCATTATGTTTAATTATATTGAAATTAATAAAACATCTTCAACTGTTATTTTCTTGTTGTGTGGATTTAAATTTTTGGTTTTGTTTAGTCCTTTTTTGATAAGAGATTGATTTGAACACCAACAAAGCCCCCATTTGTCTCCTGCCCTGTGAAGAGCCATGAACGCTCACAGGGAAAGGGGGGGCGTCACCTGGGGAAATCACGGCTCCCAGTTCTGCTGGAAAGGAAGGGAGGTTGGGGTGAGGGGCGGCTCTGCGCGAGAAGCAGAGGAGAATTTGGGAAGGCAGAGGCTTTGCTCCAGGATCTGCAACAAGTGTCAGGGAAACCCAGAGCCAGGGGCTCCCAGCTGCGCTGTGCCCCCTTGGCCACATCCCGGGTGCCCACAGCTGCCTCCATCAGCTGCTCTTTTTCGTTATTCACTCCCTTCCATCTCCTGCCCTGCTGCAGGGATGCTGGGGGGCAGAAGGGAAACCCCTTCCACCCAGAAAAGGGCAGGAAAAGCCCCAGGAGAGCAGGGAATGCTTGTCTGGACAGCGCGGCCCGAGCTGGTGTGTTGGGCTGCAGGTGATCTGGGGAGACATCAGGTGATGTACACTAATTAAAAACAATTAAACGCAAAAATGAAAACAAAACCAAAACAAAGCCCCCCTCCAAATCATTTTCGATCAGATGCATGGGAACGGCTAAATTTTGTCATCTGGAGAGGGCCCCTGCACTTTAAAAGGGGAAAATAAAGTCTCTGGAAATTAAATGTTCTTCTCATAAAACAGAGGGGAATGCTGCCAGATTTGTTTACTCTTGAGGTGGAGGGCTTTGGAAGAAAATGGGAAACCATGCCAAAGGCTTCCTCACCTGAAGGGGCTGATCTGTGCCTCACAGGTACCTGATTTCCTCTGGGCTGCCACCCTTTTCCTGGCAGAAAGCAGCCTGGAAACCCTGGAGAAGGTTTTCCTCTCCTTAGGACCCAGGGCAGGAACACCCAGCGTACCTATGGGTGTCTAACCCATGGCCTGAGATGCCTTGTTTTTGCCCTTGTGTAGCCCACAAAACAACATCCTCAAGTGGGTTTCACTCAAAATACCAACTCCCTCACCTCCAGCAGCTTTGCTGCTCCCTACCTGGGCAAGAGCAGGAAGGACCTCGTCTTCCAGCCATCTCCTCTGTGGACTGGTGTGCTTGCAATGTCTTCTTTTTCCTAGGTTTCTGCCTCCAGAAATACACTGATGTGTTATCACCAGAGTTTTCAGACTGTCCTAGATCCCCTTTTGCAGGAGGAGGCAGCCAAGCTGTGCCAGTGGTGAGTGCTGGGGCAC